ATAAGAGTTTAGTTTTCAAAATAGTTTGAAGTATCTGGAATTTTAAAAACCTGGAGATAGTCCTGAATTTCCGAACAATCGGGTCGTCCATCGATCTCTATCCACTCTAGAGCTCCAGGCTTGAGATTTTGTGTCTCCAATGCAGCCCTTGCCTAAAAAAATTACATGTTGGCTATCGAAAGTATCTATGAAGGGGTAGGACTGTACTGTACCACTGCAATATCAGAATAGTAGCTTAAACAAAGACCCCCTGCTTATGAGCTGGAGGACCCTATGAACATAGAAGTTCCAAAAAAAATTAAATAGTTAAATTGACTTAATTTAAAATTTTTGGCTGTTCCAAAATTTTTTCATCATATTCATCCTGTTTCGCACCCAATACTCAATTGGACTCGTTACGCTTCAAAAGGCTGTGTGGTATGCCGAGGCCACAAAAAAACAGACCCTTCTCTAGTATCGATTGCGCATCTATCAATTGCTGCGGCGACGTTTTTGAACGGGTGGTCGAATGTTTACTCTCGTCACAAGACAAGCAAAACGAAAAAGTGCAGAAAAACATGGCTAATTTGATAAGCACAGAAGAAAAAAGCAGACGGAAACAAATATTTCTGAAAAAGGTAGCTTACTTTGTGACAGTATGGACAGTAAGACTTGCTGAATACGACGACCTTGTGCGCTTGAAGGAGTCCATCCACATAGGACTTGACACTCATGCTCGGTGCAGATCTGAAAACATTAAGCTTATTGGTGGTAAAAAGGCCAGGATTTTAGTCAAAAAATGTCCAATTTCCAGTAGGCTTACATTCTGTTCAGGGCTGGGGAAGTACTGGTGGGGGAAACTCAGTTGAGCGAAATTCCGAAAATGGATGTTACACCATAAATTGCTTTGAAAACCAAGTTAAAATCTCCACAATTCTTATTTCACAAAATACGTTTAATATCAGGGCATTCCCAGAGAGGGACATTATGAATGAAGTTTTTCTTGCAACGAGGGAAGGTCCGTATCGCTAAAACCAAAAGGCACGTCGAGCGAATGACAAAACTTATCGAAAACTTGAGGCCGCACCCTCGCCGAAAAGAACAACGATCATTGATGAATTGATAAGGAGAAGGAGACATTCGTTCCTGTTCTACTGATTCTGAGGATAAACTGCAACCTAGAGGTAAACCCCGATAAACAATGCAAAACCCAGTCTATGATACCATATGATACAGCTTTCCCCCCCCCTCAGCCAAATTGAAACGGAAATAATTTCCGCCTAAAAACTTCCCGCAGATAAGTTTATACATTCCAATTTCATTGAACAGAAGCGAAACAAACTTAGAAGCTCCCATAAAGTCGGAACTTTTGACGACGATGGAATCCTTTATCTTACGATGCGTTTGCTTCCGTGGGGGCGTGACTTGTTGCCCTACAACGCCGCGGAGTGCGCCCCTGGGAAGCAATTGCTTGCCGCACTCATTTTACGGCGCGACCCATCACCCCTCGGTACTACTTGGGGCTTGTTACGTTCGCGACCTCCTTTCTGAAAGCTAACCTGTTAATGTAAAGTAATTCCACTACTAGTTTAACTCCTTGTGTTTAACAAGCTAACAATGTCCCATTCGCGATCAACTAAACCACGTTTTCTTCTTCCGCCGTCCTGTGCAACAAGATGTGGAAATAGCTACAATTCTCATCGTCAACCACAAAGTTGCGCTCGCTAACATGACCTACTACCCGTGATTGTCATGATGAAACATTCAAATAATAGCACCTGTCATCGTGGGCTTGTTTGGCCAGCGGACTATTTGTCATCAATCCTCTCCATCGACCAACAGCAATGTCATCATTCCCTGTGATGAGAATCGCTTTACAGCAAGCATCTCGACTACGCTACTCGGCGAGTTTTTAGATCACTCACACGATTACACTAAAACAATACATTCAACCTTGCGCATTAGGGATTATTGTGAAACCACAACAACTTTTTGTGTTATATTTACGCAAAGTAAACAAAAAATCGTAACAATACAACCAAGAAGGGACTCCCCTTTTTCCTGACTGGTCTGTTTTTTTGGCTAGGGATTGTTTATTAAGCAGAGAGCCTGAGAATAATTCAGAGTGTTTGTTAGAGGGGGGGGGGGAAATGTTCTTTTAAAACCAATAGCAATAAAAACTGCTGTTCGACAAATGGTACTGGTTAATTAAAGTCGTTGTCTGGACACAACGTGAAGAATACAGCAACCAAGCCACCTACTGCCGTTGAGAATTTTTTGCAACCCTTTTCTCTTCTGGTACGAGCTCCCGCCCCCGTTCTCCGTCCCCATCAACCTAACATATTCTGGACCTAACTTTCTCCTACAATTCTCCGGTTTTCTCAAGAAAAAACCGACGTCAGGAAGGGGAGACTGTTTACAGCGCACTTGAGACCGAAAAACCGTGAAAAGTGAACAACCAAGAAAAGTTTCTCAAGGGCAAACACGACCTCCCATTCCCTAACAACCAAATACAACCCCCCACTGGGATCCTCTACGTGAGACATGCCCTGATCGCGATAGCACTCCGCTTCCACTTTGGCATTAGGTCCGGTTTCAAAGACACAGACAGACATTTGGGGCCATCTTCAATGTTTTTAGTATAAACTATAGCTCTTGATACCTAACAGCTTCACCATTTTCCTTGACGCAGCCCATGTAGTTCTGAAGAGCATTCTGCCCAATGCCGGAGCCTTCACAACCAGCAATGCGATCTGCTTGGGCATCCTTGATCGCGGTGTGCTTGACCGTGAGGTGATAACGTTGGCCTTTCAACCGCAGTTATCAGGAATCTATGTCAAGTGTTTAAATCAGTTTATTAAAAGTGCTTAAACATGTGTCACACAAACTGTACAATTTATCAAAAAGGAGTACAAAGTATGTCATGTAAAGTAAGTAATACCCGCGCATTAGAAGCCACACTGACTGGTTCAAACTAAGACTTTGCTGACGAACGATATTAAAGTACACATTCTCGTTGAATAGAAATGAATGATACTACATTACGCAGTAGAGCCATAAACTGGACTAAAGTCAAAGACTTTCAGGATATTAAAGGAATGAACAAGGCGAATATAGTACAATGAGTTGCAGAGACTTGGGGTGCATAGTCCTCCATAGAGAACTTCAGAGGCGAACCTCTGGTAGTTTTCTCTTCATAAGGGATGCGTTCAATATGTATAACGACACCCTTATCGGGAACTCCGCGCTCCTCTGATAGCACTGTCAACAAACTCGTAATACGCTGTCAATCTTGAGTGAGTTCTCTGAAGACGTGACGCGTTCAGTGGTCTCTATGAGGTGCCTCCCATGAACATTACTGTCCAGAACCCGTGACGAATTTCCGTAGTCGTTGATCAGATTCCTTGGCTAGCTGATTGTAGTGTGCCTGAAGCAGAATATTTCA